ATCAAAGTCTCTGGGAACTCAAACGGACCGATTATTTTACCATTTAAAATTCCTGTCCAATGGTTTATCTTGAAGCGATATTGAGATTCATCTTCTCTCATCAAATGTGGGTTTGCTACGTGCCACTCGTGTAAGTTATGCAGATTCATGTACCCATCTTTCTTAAATGTGGTCTCGTCCGACCATAAAATTTTTTCAAAGAACTATGGATCTTTCCTGTGTCTTTCTAACATTGTGCGACAAAAAGCAACTCGGGGCTCATAATCCCGAGGCAGGAGAGGTTGAACACGCTGTATGTGGTATGGATGAAGCACATCACTTACTTGCTATTGCACACTTTGATACCGATTACTACTCCTTCGTTTACTGTGCATCTTTACATGTTCGTGCTTGTTGATTTCGTACTGTTACTAATTTTGGATTCGTGAACTGGACTGTTGATCGCTTGTGATTTGGATTTGGACTGTTTAATTGCTCTTCAAAACAACATTTGCTTTCCTTAGACTATCTTTGATAGTGTGATTGTGCAGTGCCGCTAGGTCCGTGTACACCGTACAAGAATATGCTAACATGCACCTCATTTATGGGGAATGCAGATGCAACGCTAGTGCTGCAGCGAGACTTTACTGTGAGAGGTACCCGTATGCAGCTCGTCATCCAGATCATCGAGTGTTCACAAATGTGCACCGATTACTGTTCTCAGAGGGCCAACTACCAAACCAATCACACGGTGAGGGAAGATCTTTCTTTCCTTACGAAGACGTGGTGCTAGGAGCTGTCGAAGAAGACCCGACTACTTCAGTGCGTGCAATAGAACTAAAAACAGGTGTGCCCAAAAGTACAGCACATAGAATCTTGCAAAAAAACGTGCTCCATCCATACCACGTACAGCGTGTTCAAGCTCTTCTGCCCCGGGATTATGAGCCCCGAGTTGCTTTTTGTCGCACACTGTTAGAAAGACACAGGGAAGATCCACGGTTCTTTGAAAAAATTTTATGGTCAGATGAGACCACATTTAAGAAAGATGGGTACATGAACTTGCATAACTTACACGAGTGGCACGTAGCAAACCCACATTTGATAAGAGAAGATAAATCTTAATATCGCTTCAAGACAAACCATTGGACGGGAATTTTAAATGGTAAAATAATCGGTCCGTTTGAGTTCACAGAGACTTTGACTGCTGAGGTTTATTTAGGTTTTTTGCAAAATCGTTTAGAAAATTTATTGGAGGACGTGCCACTGAGTATTTACAGGGACACGTGGTTTCAGCATGATGGCTGCCCAGCGCACTATGCACTCTCAGTGAGAGAGTATCTTGATCAAAACTCTCCAGGCAGATGGATAGGGCGGTCTGGTACAATACCGTGGCCAGCCCGGTCACCAGATTTGAATCCGTTAGATTTTTTTTACTGGGAACTGTAAAAGAAAAAGTGTATTTCAAGCCGATTCAAAATGTAGCTGAGCTACGGCAAAGACTATTGGAAGCAACTGAGTTTGTTAATAACCGTGGATTCGCTCGTTTAATAACCCGATCTTTTTTAAGAAGATGTCGAGCGTGTATTGCGGCTGAAGGAAAACAGTTTGAGCATTTGCTGTGAAGGTAAATCATCATCAGCAGCATTTTGACGCCCACTGTTGTGCAAGCAGTTATCCTTAAGGGTCCTTGTGCGTTTTCATAATCGCTGTTTAATTAGGAAATTTTGAAAAAATTTTATCAGTTTTTCTTCAAATAAAAATTGTGCATAAGTTAACGAGTAATCTTCTAAGTGTTATACCATTTTGGAATCGTTATTAAATGCGCCAACTTTTAAGGTTACTTGCCAAACTCTCGTAGTACATTTTTTCCAGTACAGCCAGTTAAAGTTGAGCAAAGTTTTACTTTGGAATACTTGGTTGGGAAATAAGTGGCAATTTTTCCTGAACAAGAAAAGTTGGCAGTAAGGTTGCGACACCACTTTAAAGATGCATTATTCATCATTACGTTGTAAAAATAAAATCCAGAAAAAGTTAATATTTGCAGTAACAGGAGTTGACAGACTGCCGTAGGGTGTGAAATTTCTATATTTTTTTCAAAGACCTATAATTTTCAAAACACATACATAAAATTTTTTTAAATATTTTTCTGACAGCTGTTATGACTTTGCCTATCACCCGGTTTCGGCTTGACGTCGACTTCTGGGACACCCTGATTTATACTCTCTCGTTTTCAGAAATATTGAAGTAATTACAAGTATTGTATAACAGACACAATTATAACGATGCAGCCGTTTTGAAATCAGTATACGAGATTTTGAGTTACCTTTATGTATGACGTCACATTGACCAACCTCATATACCTGTCACTATCTTCACATCTGATAGGAGAAATGTTCTGATTCGAACTTTTCACATAATTTCATTCAAATTTCATATTTGCATAGTGATAAGACCGAGTTTGCGTGGAAAAATTTGAAATAATTTTTTTGAACAAATTCCAAAATTTGTTTTTGTTTCACCCTGTCAAAGGGAGGATATTCTGAACAAAACTTTTCTCCATAGCTTATAGTTTTCGAGATATAAGCTAGAAAATATTTGAAAAGTTTGCCGTTTTCGACTCAGAAAAAATGAATAACTAAATGTTGCCAATCTTGCTAAATCAAACATGTATTAACGAAATTCCTAAGCATTTCAGAAGGCATTGTTATTGCAATTGTTGATCGAGTACACGCTCAATGGTTCTGCGGCATCCATTTTTTCATATCCTTTTTCGGGGTCGAAGATGACATTTGGCACTTTTTCAAATAATGTACCGCTTGTCTGGAAAACTGCCAGCTGTAGAAAAACGTCTAGAGCGTCTTTCTTGTTCAAGGCGTCCCAAAGAACCAAAAAGCCCTTTGAACTGGATGAATAAAATCATTTTTAGAATTTGTTTGAATAAGATCCATCCTTTTTTAATAGAATTTTCCAAAAATCTCCGTCAGAATATTTTTCCCATCAGACGTGATGACAGTGCCCGGACTATATTCTTTACTTAAACGCAGTTGACACATGGGCATTAAAATGGATGTTAGCCAGCTTTTTGAGAGGTTGGGATACTCAGGAAGTCAATAAATATAGTTTATAATACAAATAGTTTTACGAGAAAATTATAATCAACGAAACGCCACAATGTTAAAAATAGTAATTCGTCACCGAACAAGAACTTGCTACGTTCAGTATCAGCTTTGCAGACACGAATCTTTCAGATAGCATTTTGGTCAAATGACGTCATCACTTATACAGAGTGATGCAGGAAGCAGTGGCGATATTTGTAGGTCAGAAAATACGTCGAGAAATGACACGATAAGTACTGACAACGTGAAAATTTTCCGATCAAGGAAAAAGGGAAAATATTTTCCGCGCCACAGAGCTTCTTGAAGCAGCTGTTGCATTTTTGAATGAAGTAGTTGATTTTTTTTCGGAACAAAGATAAAAATATATTCACCATGACTCATTCTATTGAATGAGCTAAAATCGTCATTCGAAAATCTTTTGGACCATACAAATCACTGTATTAACTCTATTTTGAATAAAATAGATTCTATTTTCCGAAACAAAAAATGTTTGTTCATTTTTCTATTTGTCCTGTTTACCTTTTTACGATAATTATAATTTCAGTGATCTAAGTACAGTTCAAAGGGATTTTGAAGAAATTAATGCATGTAAAAGCTTATAAGCTTGCATTTTCTGCGCCAGTTTTTGTAAGGAAATTCATTAATTTTTTGTCCAAAATGTGACAAAGTTTTGTAAGACACATAAATGTGACTTGAAAACAGTTATCATGTAATTAGTACCATTTTCATAAGTAAAACTCTTGAACTTACGATGACTAAGACATATTCAACGCAATTTTGATACGCATTACGACTAGAAATTTTGAAAAAAATAGGAATGTGTGAAACTAAAAACGTTTTCCTGTTCAATATCCCTTATTTCAGCATCGTAATGTCAAGGGCATTCATAGGAGCTTCTTTTCATTTCCGGTTGTACCTTCTGCTCTATAAATACCACCATTCATTCTGTATAAAATATTAGGAGCTTTCAGCTCCAATCTCACCCGTATTAAGAACGGAATATATCGCAGATTCAGGTATGTATATACAACAAACTCTTATTTCCTCTAAAACACTGCTATACTACTAAAGCATACAGTTATTGTAACACTGGGACGACATTTAAATATTTTTTTAAAGACGGAGCTTGACACGGGATAGTAGATCATAACTATAGATTCTAAAGGCCTGGTACTGAGCTAAAAATTCTACGAGTGGTGTTTGGCTACAAAATGGACCAGCACTTTTCTACACTACAAAGAAACGTATAGGCATCTGATGGACGGCCTAAGGTCAGCAGATCAATGAAAGTCTTCTTGAGGAAATAATATAAAAATGATAAATATGGATTTATTAGGGCGAAATTAGACACAAAAAAGGACCAGGCACAAAATAAGAACATTCAGTATGACATATTTCTTTCCTTCCCGAACAAAAGTGTCCAAGTGGCTTCTTAGAAAGAAGGATCGATTTCCTGATTTGCAAAACTGGTGAATGTGTATGTTGTAGTTTCCAGACCAAACACTGTAGAACAGGTCTTCAAGGACAGAGGAAAATCGTGGTTGTTTGATGATGACCTTTTGACACTTTTGTTTGTGGAGGCAAGAAATATCTCATGCTAAATTCTTAAACAAATCGACTGGGACCCATTTTCAGTATGTTTTGTACCTGGTCATTTGTTTTTGCCTAACACATATGAGTTTGTAACAAATACTTTAAGAACCTTCAAGATCATAAATGCTGAGAAGTATGTAATAAAAATTATGTGGGATTGTTAGATTTTTGCAAATCCCTGTGTAAGTCAAAAAATACAAAAGATTATGTCATTCATTCGAGAGTTCGTGTTTTTTTTGCTACTGTGGAAAGACTGCACGTTGACCTCATTAAAAAATGTCATATTCAAATTTATATCGCAAAATCTTGTTGGGGATGTTCTCGAGTACCACAGAGTCAAAGGGCGAAGTTGAAGCCTAGCAGTTTGTCTGGCAGACTCAAAATGCTGTTGCACATGGTCTCTTTTAACTTCGTCCTGGACCATCCATTAAGACCGGATGTACATTTGGGTCCGTATCTAGAAAAATTTTATCAGAAACTAATACCACAAAGCACAAATTATCACAAACCAATTTTGCTGTCCATTTTGTAACCAAGAAACGACCAAAATCGTAACCATTCTTCTTTATTTTCCATTTTACGTTATGACTTTGGAATAGATGCTGCTTCCTGTACAGGTAGATCAGGAGATCCCCGAAACGACAGAGAAATGTTGAAGTATCTTCTCAGTACGGCCAGCATTAGCAATCTTGCTAGACGATGTTAAAGTCCAACATCTCGACTCGATGTATATAATTCCATAATAAGGTACACGGTAAGCAACCTGAAAAGAAAAAATATCTAAGTAACGTATAAGATTCAGAAAAACGTATTATTCGCAATTCATCATCGCTTCAGGCGCAAACTTCATGTGATACAAATGCAGGGTCCCGACGAAAAGGTATGTGACTCTCGTGGCACATTTTAGGAAAATGTTCAGACAAGTCAATTTTGATTTCTAGGAGGACGGATCCAAAAATAAGATATTGCATGACACTTTAGATATTAGTAATGCTGTTTTGTTATTTCTACCCTTTCCTGAGTTAAATAAGTCAGTGTTCAATATTTATCATAACTAGGTAGGTAACTTGACAATGTGAAATGAAAGACAAATTTTTCATGACATATACTAAGTGACATATAAATCCGAACACCCAGTTTAAATGGTTTTATTTTAATAAAATTTTGTATAAGTACTTAATGAAGCATAATAAGTAAATGATAAAAATTTCAAAATGATTGCACTGCTGTAAAGCCCTTTGACCTTTAATAATGCGTGGATGCACCCTGATGTGCTACGCATTCTCCAACGCGCCTAGGCATGCTTCTGATCAGGTGGTCAATGTCCTCCTGTGGTATCTCATTCCAAGCAACCACCAACTCCTCTCGAAGTGCTTCTAGAGTCTGAGGAGGACGCTGCAAATTGAGCAATCTCCTACCCATCATATCCCACACGTGCTCAATTGGGGATAAGTCGGGAGATCTTGGTGGCCATGGTAACAATGTGACATCATTATGTTGAAAGAAGTCTATTGTGACTCTTGCAACATGTGGTCGGGCATGATCTTGTTGGAAAGTTGGATCTGCCAGGGTAAAAGTTGGGGGTTCTAGAACTTCGTGGATATAACGCTGCGCGTTCATGTTACATCTGATGAAGATTAAAGGTGACCTGGAACCATAAGCTATAGCACCCCAAACCATAACTCCAACAGTGTGATGAACATGTCTTTCAACAAAAATCTGTGGATTCCTCCTTTCACCACGTCGCCTTCTAACCCTGGCACGACCATCGTGCATGCCTAAACAAAATCGAGACTCGTCACTAAAGACAATACTGTTCCATTCCTGATCCCAGAGGGACCGTTGTCTGCACCACTCAAGGCGATTACGTCGGTGTTCTCGAGTTAAAGGGAGGACCCAGTGTGGCCGGTATGAAAACAAGCCAAAACTTCTCATTCGTCGGTAAACACTTCGCATGCCAATAGGTCTTCCGTGTTCTGCAAACCATTCATTTGCAATGGACCTGGTAGTGGAGAAACGGTCCCTTAAGGCCAATAATCTTAGGCGGCGATCTTCACGGTCTGTTGTTCTACGGCGGCGTCCAGTGCCCCTTGCTCTTTGCGTACGGCCTTCTCGAAGCCATGCCTGACAACACCTAACCACAGTGTCTACACTTCTTTGCACTCTAACTGCAATTGCCCGAAAAGAAAGTCCAGCTTCCCGAAGTCCCACTATACGGCCCCTATCAAACTCACTAAGTTGACGAAATCGTACAGGTCTCCGTACTCTAGGCATCGTAACCGATCGTAAAGGATGTCAAGAACCAAAATCCGCCAACGTTGATTCTTTACTGCGGCTGAAATATTCATTTTTAGAGCGTTAGTGAATTAAAAAAAAGCAGTATAAAAACCGGAATGTCCAACTGATGAGGCTGACAATTTTTTCACTTGTTATTTACAGTAAGATAAATACATTCACCAACTTTTATTAAAATAAAACCATTTAAACTGGGTGTTCGGATTTGATGTCACTTAGTATACAATGACAAGGAAAATCTAAAAATTAAGAAAAAATTAATAATCTAATGTGTAATTGTTAGATCACCCTGTGTAGTACGGCTAGAAATCAAAATTGACGTGTCCGACCGTTTTTCCCAAAATATACCAGGAGAATCACAAATAGGATGCGATTTTTTCGTTGACCATCCTGTATACATCATACATTGAAATATCAAGGCAATTCATCGTACAACTAATTTTTCGAGCGCCTCAAAAATTAACGACTACTATCTGGAAACACGACATAATATATAATTAGATAAACCTAAAATTGGTTACACATTATTCAATCAAAGACTAATATCTTAAACTGACCAATAAAAGGACTTTAAAATACCTGAAATAGTTGGAATTAGTGATTCGAAAAACATAATTTGCATCTATAATAAAAAGCTGCTTAAAAATGCTACATTATGGTTAAAAAAACCGCTCATAAAGTTTTTATGGCCGTGCGACACCTTTTTGTTATCAAACTGCTACAGGTAAAACGTTTTTACAAATCGACAAGGCTTTTCGATAATTTTTTTACACGCGCGATGGAGAGCACATATCGAAGTACTAAAACTTCTATGAAGATAGTAATAATAATCATAATATTTATTCATTCAATGCACAAACATGAGTAAATATAAATATAAAATAAAAACAGGTCCAACAGGAGGCATTGCATGTGCATGGACCAACAGCTGTAACTGTAGAATACACAATATAAAAAAAGGCAAGAACTAAACTGAATCCAAATTCAAGATGAGATGTAAATAATAACAGTTAGCGCGTGATCTCTCGGTAACAGGTGTGGACAACGCCTCTTATTGGGCAATTCGCCATTGAATTTCAAGCGGTCGCCTGGCGGAATAATGCGCGGGGCAGGGGCAGGGCAGGCAGAGTTGCATTCAGGCCACCGACCGTCGCGTGTATCACTGCGTGCTCGTGTTTTCGTATTCACCTTGCTTGGCTGTTGCTGTTGTTGTTGTTAAGTGTATTTGAGTAATTTGTTAAGTTTCTGTTTGTGATTGTTATTCCTCGTTATTGTTTGTTTGATTAATTTACGAGCTTATGCATTTCAGTCAGGTACAGATTTTCTCTTGAAATAATTTCCGAAATCTAAATCTTTCAAATCTTTAGGTATAATTCCATAAAATTTTGGCGCTAAATAAAGAGGTCACCGCTGCATTAACTGCTGAGGAGCTGCTGTGCTCCGAGTTTTGAACATAATAATTATGTCCAATTTATTTATCGGCGTTGACAGATTTATGATAGTGGGTAGGAAATATATCATACATTTGTTTTGTATATCTGTGTATCATTCCTCAGTCGGATAAAGTTCCGGTTTTTTGAACAACGTTTTTAGAACACCTTTCTGAAAAGTGTCCAAATAATAGTTATGTGATGAACATGCAGCTCCCCAAGCTAATATATCGTATGTGAGTAACTCGGGTAAAACTTTCTCCTAATTAGATAATCTTTATTCAAAAATCCAGTTGGGCTTGGTGCGGGTGTCAAACACATCTCAGAGGGGCAAATTCTGTTGTCATATTAAAACGGGTTAGTTTATTAATCTTTGTACTGAAGCACAGTGGGGCAGAATCCTACAAAGCTGGCCAAAAATCAGATTTTTGAGTTATATATACTAAGTGACATATAAATCCGAACACCCAGTTTGAATGGTTTTATTTCAATAAAATTTTGTATAAGTACTTAATGAAGCATAATAAGTAAATGATAAAAATTTTAAAATGATTACACTGCTTTAAAGCCCTTTGACTTTAATAATGTGTGGATGCACCCTGATGTGCTACGCATTCTCCAACGCGCCTAGGCATGCTTCTGATCAGGTGGTCAATGTCCTCCTGTGGTATCTCATTCCAGGCAACCACCAACTCCTCTCGAAGTGCTTCTAGAGTCTGAGGAGGACGTTGCAAATTGAGCAATTTCCTACCCATCATATCCCACACGTGCTCAATTGGGGATAAGTCGGGAGATCTTGGTGGCCATGGTAACAATGTGACATCATTATGTTGAAAGAAGTCTATTGTGACTCTTGCAACATGTGGTCGGGCATTATCTTGTTGGAAAGTTGGATCTGCCAGGGTGTCAAGATAGGGTAAAAGATGGGGTTCTAGAACTTCGTGGATATAACGCTGCGCGTTCATGTTACCTCTGATGAAGATTAAAGGTGACCTGGAACCATAAGCTATAGCACCCCAAACCATAACTCCAACAGTGTGATGAACATGTCTTTCAACAAAAAACTGTGGATTCCTCCTTTCACCACGTCGCCTTCTAACCCTGGCACGGCCATCGTGCATGCCTAAACAAAATCGAGACTCGTCACTAAAGACAATACTGTTCCATTCCTGATCCCAGAGTGACCGTTGTCTGCACCACTCAAGGCGATTACGTCGGTGTAAGTGTTAGAAGGCGACGTGGTGAAAGGAGGAATCCACAGTTCTTTGTTGAAAGACATGTTCATCACACTGTTGGAGTTATGGTTTGGGGTGCTATAGCTTATGGTTCCAGGTCACCTTTAATCTTCATGAAAGGTAACATGAACGCGCAGCGTTATATCCACGAAGTTCTAGAACCCCGTCTTTTACCCTATCTTGACACCCTGGCAGATCCAACTTTCCAACAAGATAATGCCCGCCCACATGTTGCAAGAGTCACAATAGACTTCTTTCAACACAGTGATGTCACATTGTTACCATGGCCACCAAGATCTGCCGACTTATCCCCAATTGAGCACGTGTGGGATATGATGGGTAGGAGATTGCTCAATTTGCAACGTCCTCCTCAGACTCTAGAAGCACTTCGAGAGGAGTTGGTGGTTGCCTGGAATGAGATACCACAGGAGGACATTGACCACCTGATCATTTTGAAATTTTTATCATTTACTTATTATGCTTCATTAAGTACTTATACAAAATTTTATTAAAATAAAACCATTTAAACTGGGTGTTCGGATTTATATGTCACTTAGTATATATTCATCTATACACGTTTAGATCTTGTTTACGGATAGTCCGAGAATGAAATTCCGAACATCAGTCGACATTCAGCATGTGTACACGTCGCAAAAATTC